CCCCGCTCCCCACGCCGGTGTCCCGAGCAGCCCGGGCCGCCTCCCAGGGTCAGAAGTGCCCCTGGAAGCTGCACGCAGGGTCAGGCTTGGACTCACTGACGCTGGCGCTACAAGGACTCTGCTTGTGACCTCCGGGCTCGGAGCCAGAGCTGCATCCCGGGGCAGGGGGGTGGTGGCCGAAGGGAGTGCAGGAGCCATGTGACACAGGTCCACCCTCCTAGTCACCAGGGTGACCACATTTCTCCCTACTGACTAGGGGACACTTGTTAAAATGACTCACATTCAAGACAGTTCAACCTATAAAGCTTCAAATGAATTAAACTGACTGAGGCCCTGTTGAAAAGAAATAGCAAATTGGGGTATGTCTACACTGCCACCCTAGTTCGAACTAGGGTGGCAGTGTAGGCATTTAGATTGTCAGATTATCTTCTTACCTTTAAGGCTTTAGAGCAGGGCTACTCAACGCGCAGCCTGTGGGCCACATGAAGCCCGTGACCCATTTGTTTGTGGCCTGTGGTGCGGTTTGGGATTACGTTGTGCTCAACACTTGGCCCACGGGTGGGATTCTTTGAACATGGCCTCCACTGGGAACACACCCTGCAATGGCCAGGCATCTCCCAGGTGGGGTGAGCATTGAAAGACACAAGTGGATGGGCTGGCTGGAACAGAGGGGTACAGGTTCTAGCCTCTAGAGAGGAGATGCTGGGAGCACCAGGGCATTGTATTCATGCCCATCAGTGTGAAATAAGCTATTTGCATATATATTTGAATGTATATGCAACCACATTTAAGTTGTGGCCTTCACAACGTGCTGTATCATTGTGGCCCCCGGGGCTTCCAACGTTGAGTAGCCCTGCTTTAGAGTCTACATAGGAAGAGGTGACATCCACCTGCCCATGCACAGATGGGGAGAGTGACACACACACTCTCATACACTTCTCTATTGGGGAGGAGGGCAACCAGCCCTCCCTGCCTACTGCTTTCCACTCTCCATACCTGGCTGAGCACCTGGGACAGACCTGCCTCTTCTGGTACTTAGCCTTTTTGAGACAACATGTTGGGGGGAAGGGACACATAGGGTCACATGCCTCCCTCCCCAGATTTCTGCCCTAGTTCAGACCAAAATGCGGTCAGCAGCAGTCTTTTGGTACTGTGTGGGAGGGAAGTGCTGGGAGCTGCATCCAGCTATGGGAGTGGGGGGGGACCTGGCCCATGTCTTGGCAGAGCTCGTTTGTCCCTCTACCCCTCTTTCCTCTCCATGGGGCTGAAAGCAGCTTGTCCTTTCCTGACTGCGCAGTGTTAAAAGCCAGCTAACACCACCAGGCTGCTGCTGTCCACTGACATAACTCAGCCACCTCCTGTCCCGGCTACAATGCAGGCAGGCAGGAGTTAAGCCATAGGGATATATTGTGCATGAGGGGCAGGGATCCTGACTTCAGCGAACCCAGCCAGAAAGGTGGCTCAACGGAGGAAGTGCCTAGGGGAGGAGCAGGACCACACTCCCAGGGGGCAGCAGGACCAAGGGTTGAAGGGTGCAGGGGGTGAAGAATGTGCCCTGCACTTGGGGCTTCTGTGGAGCCTGCAGGCTCAAGGCATGAATAGGCTAGAAATCACTTTTCTGTCCCCCCCATCCCTTGCCATTCCAGAGCTTAGCAGAAGAGTAGAAAGTCTGTCCCATGCCAGTGCTGTGTGGTGCTCTGGCACATGTAGACTCAGCTCCTCTTGCCCAGTGCCCCAGGCTGGAAAGTCTTGGGCTTTCCCAGGGTGATGGCTCAGCCAGAGGCAGTGGGGAAGGAAGGAGCCTGATAGTCAGAGCATTGGTGAGCTCAGTGCTCTGCACAGAGCTGGGGGTGGGATGTGCCCTGCTGGCAGCAGGGAGGGAAAGATGGAGGAACAGCAGGGCTGGGAAGGTTGAAAGGGCAAAGTAGTGAGAGAACAGTGAAAGGGGGAACCACATAAAGCAGATCGGTGGGCAGAAAAGGGAACACATAACATATAGCTGCCTGGCACCTGCCTACACTCCCCAACCACTGCAGGGCTCTGCTTTCCAGGTGCCAGCACACAGTGGGGGTTGCACTCAAACATGTTTAGGTTTCATGTGACATTTGCTAAGTGATTTATTTATGATGCAGTTTAATTGCATTTAATATTTTAAAAATAATTATGACCTATGCAATGTTTTAAAGAAAAGTGGCCAAATGCTGCATTTTGAAATAGCCTTTGAAGTCAATAGCTTCTGTGTTTAAATTGCCCCTTGCCTCTGGAGGGTCTTTGTAAGGTACTTGCCCTTCTATAAACAATGTGTCAAAATACTGTTCTATATACAGACTCAGTCATCCAAAGAATAAGTAAAGTTGCATAAAACTACAAGAGATATTTTTTCATGAATAACTTTTCCATAAACACATAAAATACATTAAAATGGTCTGAAGCAGTCATGCGAGGGCCCACTTCTGCAAACCCTTTAGCAGGTAGTTACACTGAAGTCAATAGTTTATGAATGTAAACAAAGACTACTAGAACTCTCATGGGTACGGGAGGACAGAATAGAGCCCTGACCACCAGCAGAACTAATGTGCCTTACTCGAAGTTGATCATTAAGCGATGTTTCTACAGATACTTACACAGATTATACAAATGCAGTATTAGGGGAGATACTTTATAGAGCTCATTTGCTGGAGGTGGTTGCTAGCACATTTCATGGTATGCTAGAAGGGCCTAGTTAATAAAAAAGAGGGGGAAGGAGCAAGAACTGAGGGTGAAGATGGAAATTCCATTTTAAGCTTCCTCTTTGTGTCTAGGTGCTGCAGTATGAAAAAATCATCTACCGTGCTACACCTGTCCAGAAGAGACCGAGTTAAAGAAAAACATCTCACCTGATCTAAACGAGACCTGAGCCTGGAAAGTGACTATGAGCAGTAAGGGATCTGGTGCTGGGGCAAGATCTATGTCACAAAAAAGACTGTTTTTTCAGGCTTTCATGTAAAGACCAGAGCCATGCAGGATACAGAACTCCTGGGGCACCTATGTGGCTTTAGTGGAAACAAGAAAGGTTAATAAAATAATAAAAAAGTAGGGATGCTTAGGAAAGAAGAATTAGACTTATTTATAAGATTCCTTTGTCCTCTGGTTCAGTCTCTTTTTCCATCCCATGAAAATCACCATGTCCCCCACCCCTTGCATGCCAAATCAATTTTTCAAGACTAGGCAATATTGGTGCAAAGTTGGCTTATGCATTCATGCATGCATGGTAATAGTGGACTTATACATATCTATAAATATCTTAACATATAGATGAAGTCTTCTGATATTTTTGCACCCTCACAAAAGCCAAGTATCTCCTAGGCCTATAAGGACCCCATAAGAGTAACAGAATATATAGGTTTTAGCACATCGTTAGACTGCTTTTGGACCTTATACGGAAATATAGGACCATCCCTTGATTTTTGTTCAGAATTCCCATTCCACATTAATAGA